ATGAGTCTATCAATGGCTATCATAATAATCCCTGAGAATTTTAAAACGTTGGCATTATCCCCCGCAATAGGCGATATGGGCATGGGACCAGAATTGGAGATAAATCTCTTGTGTGTTGGGAAATAAACCGAGTACGAGTAATTTTCCTATAACCAGATTAGTGAGAATACGAAATAAAAGCGGAAAAATAATACTCGAAATTGATAACAGAGTTCAGCCAATTTTGCTTACGTCTCCGGACTGCTGCAGATCTTTTACTAAGAGAAAAAAATTTACAGGTGTTTACAAAACACTCACTACTCACAAGAAAGCTCTCTAGTAATGGGAGAAAGAAATGATTTGAGATTTTAGGATGATTTTGAAGCTAAATGGGCTAGGGTATTTATAGTTGAGCCTTAGGGACTAATCTTATAAATACCCTAAAAATGCAATGACTAAAATTACAATATTCCCATTTCCATTTCAACAATAGCTGCCCATTTATTGCACCGAATTTTTAGAATTTCGATGGCCTTATTTTGCTGAAAAATATAACCCCTTTCTTTGACTTTTCTCCAACAATCTCCCACTTGAAGACTGATTTTAATCTGTCTTCACACCACGATCAATGCAGCAGTATTTCTGGTCTTGTTACTCTAGCATGCCAACTGAAGCTGAACACAACTTCAGTTTGTCTGTAGTCACCGTCTTTGTTAACATGTCTGCTGGATTTTGAGCTCCACTAATCTTTTCAAGTTTCAAAATCTCATCTTCCAGAAGAGACTGGATAAAATGATATTGTAATTGTATGTGCTTCATTCTGGAATGAAAAGACGGATTTTTTGCTAGATGGATAGCACTTTGACTGTCGCAATACAAGACATTGTTTTCTTATTTCTTGCCTAACTCTTCCAAGAAACTTTGAAGCCAAACCAACTCTTTGCTGGATTCTGTAACAACGACATATTCTGCTTCAGTTGTGGAGAGAGAAACTATCTTCTGTAATTGAGAAACCCAACTCACTGCAGTACCTCCTAGAGTATAGACATACCCTGTAGTGCTCCTTCTGATGTCAACATTTTCGGCTAAGTCAGCATCTACATAGTCTGTCAGTATTGTATCTCCACCTTTAAAACAAAGTGCTTTGTTTGTAGTACCTCGCAGATATCTGAGGATCCATTTGACAGCTTCCCAGTGTATCTTGCCTGGATTATTCATGTACCTACTAACAACTCCCACTGCATGAGCAATATCTGGTCTTGTACAAACCATGGCATACATTAGACTTTCAATTGCTGAGGCATATGACACCTTCACCATGTGTGCACGTTCTTCCTCCGTCTTTGGTGACTGTTCTTTGGAGAGTCTAAAATGAACACCTAAAGGTGTACTTACTGGTTTGGCATCTTGTATATTGAACCTGGAGAGTACTTTGTTGATGTACTCAGCCTGTGATAACATCAAAGTTCCCGACTTTGTGTCTCTCTTGATCCTCATCCCAAGAATCTGCTTTGCAGCGCCCAGATCTTTCATAGCAAACTGCTTCGACAATTTTTGCTTCAAGTTTATAATCTCTTGCATGTCTGAGCCTGCAACGAGCATGTCATCAACGTACAACAATAAAATAATGAAGCTGTTGTCGAACCTCTTGATGTAGCAACAATGATCTGCTTGGCATCTGGTAAAACCACTACTACTCATGAAACTATCGAACTTCTTGTACCACTGTCTAGGAGCTTGTTTTAAACAATACAAGCTCTTCTTCAACCTGCATACTAGGTTTTTCTTGCTTTCCTTTATGAAGCCTTATGACTGCCTCATATAGATTTCTTCCTCCAAATCACCATGAAGGAAAGTTGCCTTTACATATAACTGCTCAAGATGTAAATTCTTTGCAGCTACAATTTGCAACACCAGTCTGATTGTAGACAGTTTTACGATTGGATAAAAAATTTCATTGTAGTCAATACCTTCTTTCTACTGAAAACCTTTGACAACCAATCTCGCTTTGTAGCGTTTGCTCCCATCATGCTCTTCTTTGATCTTGTAAATCCACTTGTTGTGGAGTGCTTTCTTGCCTGGTGGTAATTCAGCTAATTCTCATGTCTGATTTGACATAAGCGAGTCCATCTCATCTTTCATGGAAGACTCCCACTTGACTGAATACTCCACTTGCATTGCTTCATCATAGCACTCTGGTTCACCATTGTTAGTCAGCAACAAGTAGTGCAAAGAAGGAGAATATTGTTGGGTTGGTTTAGGAATTCTGGAGGAGCGTCTCAGTTCTGGTGTGCGTGGTTCTTCTTGAACTGCTTCAAGATTGATCTGAACATCATTTCCAGAAATCTCCTCAAACTCAGTAAATTCATTTCTTTCAACTTCGGTATTGGAGCTATTTGATTCTACAATTGACCTATCTTTTTACATCACATTCTCATTGATAATGAAATATCTACTTCTGATGATCTTTCGATTTTTGTAATCCCAAAACAGGTAACCGAACTCATCACCGCCATAACCAACAAAGGCACATTTGTTGGACTTAGCATCAAGTTTACTTCTTTCAGTAGATTCTATATGTACATAAGAAATACAACCAAACACTCTTAAGTGTGAAAGGTTTATTTATTTCTTGCTCCAAACTTCCTATGGTATTTCGCCATCCAAGGGAACTGAGGGCCCACGGTTGATCAGGTAAGCTGCAGTGTTGATAGCTTCAGCCCATAGCAATTTGGGCAAGCCAACGTGTATTCTCATGCTTCTGGCACGTTCATTCAGAGTTCTGTTCATGCGCTCTACTACGCCATTCAGCTGCAGTGTCATGGGAACTGTTCTCTCCATCTTGATCCTATTGTTTGCGCAAAATTCTCTGAATCTACTATTTTTGTACTCTCCTCCATTATCAGACCTCAACCGCTTGACTTTCAAACCAGTCTCATTTTCCACCATGGCCTTCCATTTTCTGAAGGTATCAAAGACTTCTGATTTCTTCTTCAGAAAATAAACCCATACATTCCTTGTAGAATCATCGATGAAGGTGACATAATATAATGAGCCTGCAAGAGATGGAACTGGAGATGGTCCCCATACATCAGTATGAACCAACTCTAACTTTTTAGCCTTGGATGTCTTACCAATCTTTGCAAAGCTGACTTTCTTTTGTTCGCCAAAGATGCAATCCTCGCATAGTCCGACATCTACATTCTTTAGATCTGACATCTTTCCTTTTTACAAAAGTGTCTTCATCTCTCTCTCGCTCATATGACCAAGCCTTTGGTGCCATAGGTTTGATTTTCCATCAGCATCTACTGCAACAATCATATTCTCTAAGTTTAAGGTTACATAGAGAGTACCAATCTTCTTACCACGAGCAATGACGAGTGCTCCTTTGGTAATCTTCCATTCACAGCCTGAAAAGGTTGTGCTATATCCTTCTCCATCAAGTTGTCCTACAGAAATCAAATTTCTTTTGATGCCAGGAATATGTCTCACTCCTTTCAGCGTCCAGGTGGTTTGGCAGTTTTAATCGTATGTCTCCTTTTCCGACGATCTTCAAGGTTTCATCATCAGTTAGATGAACCTTCCTAAAATCACCACTGACATAGTTCTCCATGATTTCTCGGCATGGGGTGGAGTGGAAAGATGCCCCTGAATCCAAGATCCATGATTCAATTAGACTGTTGACGCTTAAAATCATGGCATCACCTGTCTCCTCTGTCATGTTGGCTTCCTGTGCGCGGGTATCTTTCTTCAGTTCTCTACAATCTCTTTTAAAGTGACCCTTCTTGCCACAATTATAACATGTAAAATCTTTCTTTCACGTTCTTGATTTTCCTCTTCTAGATTTGGATCTGCCACGATTTGAATTTCTCTCTGAATTTCTCCCTCTGTACTCCGTGTGCAAGGCTGAGGAGGTTGATGCTTCACCCGATTCTCTCCGTCGAATTTCTTCGCTCAGTACCAGATCTCGAACATCGTCGAATTTCAATTTACTATTTCCCGACAAGCTGCTAACTGCTGTAACAATAGCATTCCAACAGTTTGGTAGAGATGAAAAGAGAATTAAAGCTCGAACTTCATCATCAAATTCAATTTCCACGGAACTCAACTGGGTTGTGATTGTGTTGAGCTCATTTAGGTGTTGAGCCACTGATGCCCCTTCCGCCATCCGCAAATTGAGCCACCATAAGACCCGCCGTGGTCTTTTCCTTTGCTATGTTGAAAGCAACGTTGCGGGACAACGTCATTCGGATAACTCCGAGGGCTTGTCTGTCGAGAAGAGCCCAGTCTTCATTCTTCATGCCCTATGGTTGCTTTCCTGAGAGAGGTTGATATAGATTTTTCTGGTACAGAAAATCCTCAATCTGCATCTTCCAAAAGCCAAAGTCCGCACCATCGAACTTCTCAATTTTCACCTTCCCTTCGTCTATAGCCATCGCTCCCACTCGAATCTGGCTTCTTTGGATCGTTTCTGACAATTTCTGTGAACCGCTGTGTATTAGAACACCTCCGTCGACAAATTCGTATCGACGACAAAATTTTTACTATTCACGAAAGTCACTATTCATTTGAATAGTAATGAATAGTAACCTTGCAAAAAAATTGACAAAATTCATAACCAAAAGCTCTGATTACCAGTTGTTGGGAAATAAACCGAGTACGAGTAATTTCTCTATAACCAGATTAGTGAGAATGCGAAATAAAAGCAGAAAAATAATACCCGAAATTGATAACGGAGTTCAGCCAATTTTGCTTACGTCTCCGGACAGCTGCAGATATTTTACTAAGAGAGAAAATTTACAGGTGTTTACAAAACACTCACTACTCACAAGAAAGCTCTCTAGTAATGGGAGAAAGAAATGATTTTAGATTTTGGGATGATTTTGAAGCTAAATGAGCTAGGGTATTTATAGTTGAGCCTTAGGGACTAATATTATAAATACCCTAAAAATATAATGACTAAAATTGCAATATTCCCATCTCCATTTCAACAATAGCTACTCATTTATTACACCGAATTTCTAGAATTTCGATGGCCTTATTTTGCTAAAAAATGCAGCCCATATCTTTAACTTTTCTCCAACATTGTGGCAACGTATAACCTTGTTGGTTCCGATTCTAACCAAGTCTGCGGCTTTGAAAAAAGAATCTCTCGAAGCAGTGGTGAAGGAGCTCCGAAAATCACTCAAGGCCTCATTGTAATCCCTTTGGCAGAGCTTAAGCCGAGTTTGTGAGAGCGGATCTTTCAATTGTTGGAGAAGGTTGTAGATTTTATCGAGGGTGTCCTGAATATAAATGGCCATCACCGAGATGGAGACCAAGGCAAGGCCATGTAGGTCGGCTTTCACCGCATGAGGGTCGTTGCCGACTCGAGAAATATAAAATACATAGTCTAAGGCGGGCTTGTAGATGCTATCGATCAATGCACAATCGACATTGCAGATATTGAAGGAATAAGAGAAGATGTTGAGTAGAGGAATTAAGGTCATGGAATATAAGAATTTGAAGGAAGACATTTTCCTAGCATTCTTTTGCTAATGATTGTATTATCTAATGATTTATGGACTGTTGAGGTTAAACCAAACATGAGCTAGAGTTTAAAGAAGATTCTTAAATTAAGGAATGAATCATCCTGCATTTTGTCTTCTGATGTTTCGAATGTAAGCAAAATCTGGAATAAGATCAGGATGAAAAATCCTAAAGTGCAATGGCACTCTTTGCTTTGGTTCCCTCTTCTTATACCTAAGCATAGTCTTGTAGCATGGATGGCATTTCTTGACAGACTTCCTACGAAAGAAAGACTACATAAAATGGGGCTTGTTAATGACTGTCACTGCATATTTTGTTATGCTACTATGGAAACGAGAAATCACTTATTCTTCAAATGCCCGGTTGCCTCATCCCTATGGTCTACTCTTTTTTCTCTCAATGGCTTACGGTTTAGACATACTTCTTGGGATGCTCTCTTCGGTTGGGCTACTGTGTTTTGGAAGGAAAAATCACTTTTATCTACCATTATGAAAGTTTCTTCTAATGCCTTAATTTACACCATATGGAAGGAAAGAAACAAGAGGCTTTTCCAAAGTCATTCTTCTACTGTTGAAGACATGTTCAAAACTATCAAGGAAATTGTTGGTTTCGTCTAAGGGGAAGAACTATAAGTAGAATTGACAATGTTAATATTTTTCTTTGTAACCAATGGGGTATAGTTTGATGGGTTGATTGCCGTTTTGCTTTGGGTGATCTTTGTATTTCTTACTCTATTGTTTTGTAGCATATTACTGCTCTTGGGTAATAAAAATTTGATTATCCAAAAAAATAATATTTTATGCACTAATTAACGAAAGTCCAAGAAAGGAAAAAAATAAGGGAATGTTTTATTACAACTGTTATTTATAAATGTATTTATTTGAAAATGGATTTCCTAACAAATTTCTCAATTCTCATACAGAAAAAAAAAACCTTAATGGCGTAAAAGATTTGAATCAGAGATTTGAAAATTAAAAACCAATAGATAATGCAAGATTTGTGGGAATGGTGTTGGCAATAACTCTATAAACCCAGAATTGAAGGAAATGAAAACTGGAAACTATGTGCTCCTTAATTCGAAAATTAATACTGAGAAATTATTCCAATTTATAATTAGATATTTTACAAGAAACGTTAATACTAATTGGAACCAAATATTGGAATGAACAGCTATTGTGTTTCACAAACTTGTTCTGTCGTTTTCATGTTACCATTGCTGCAAAATTAAGATTAGAATTCCCCATTTTTGTAGACACATTTCATTGAAAAGAGACTTTTGTGAAAGGCACACTATCAACAGACACATCCAACTCCCCACGCGTCAAATTGGCACTCGACTTTGATTCACCATAGCTCACCCATATTACTTGTGGTAAAAAACCCAAAACCTAAAAGCTTGAAACAATAATTTTTACATCTTAGACGCTTTTTTATTTTTATTTTTATCGTCGTTATAAAAAAAGAATCGGCAGTTTTTACGCCGCTGATGGGGCGGCCATCACTTGGACAGGACCGGCTTCCGAGAGTGCCGTCAGGAAGGGTTGCAAGCTAATAGGCTCCGTCTCTCCATCAGCAGCAGTGGACTCCTTGTAATCAAGCGAGTCTTCGTTGTAAACGTCCCACCATTTCTGCACAAGCATCTCGATGTCCTCTCTTTGCATGTTGTCTTCTTTCCCTGTGTACCTCCAGGGCTTCGATCCCTGTTTAATCCCATCACAACATGATAATCAAGAGTCAAGACCAACAACATTTACACCAAGAAGAAAAGAAAACAGAGAGGGAAGTACTGTGTACTTACCGCTGCACAATAGTGAACGACTTTAACTTTTTCGAGCTCCACGTTCTGGGGATGACGCCATAACATGGCAAGAACAAGGTTGTAAATTAGAGGAATGGGCTTGTAAACGTCCTTAAAGAACATGTTCAAGAAGTCCTGTTCCGCAAATGGGGTTGGGGTTGTGATTTTGAGGGTGTTCAACAGCGTTTCATAGGTCGCAAGGTTGGGCTCGAACACGAACATTCCGGCATTGAAGTAAAGAGAAGGGGGATTACCCATCTCTGAAGGCCAATTCACCTTGTCGGGGCACTGTTGGCAGTAACCGATCTTATATTGTGGGGCGTGGCTCCAAATTTTCTCGCAGAAACAGTCCATCACGGCGTAGAAATGCCCATCAGGCATATCAAACAGGTGATCAATGTTATCGTATACCTGAATGTCGCCGTCAAGGTATATCATCTTACTGTATTCCACGAACTGTAAGCACAACGTTAATTAAAAATTATTAAAATATAAAATAACGCAAGAAGCGTCAAATTAAGTTCAGTAAATAACTCTTAACATCCATCGAACAGATCTAATCGTGCTATTCAGTAAAGGGTAATCTCGTAAAACAACCAAAGGATTTTCATGACAAGAGTATGATGCAAATTGCAATGCATGAGAGTTCGACACGTGTAAGATCGTACCAGAAAAATAACCACGGTTGAAAGTAGGGAACAACGTACCTCCCAAATACGGAGCTTGGAATAATTGATGACGTAGTAAGCCATGGCGAACTGGGTCTGGTTCTCAGGCGGATAAACGGGTTCGATCTCTCGTACGATACAACCCTGGTTCACCAGGACCCGCCTGTGCTCCTCGGGCACGTCGGGTAAAACGGCAACCACCAAAGGGTACGCAGATTTCACCTTCCTTAACCCTTTGCCTAACCCCAAGACGCCTCTCACGTAGTCCCTATTACCGGCCAGGAACGTGACGTAAGCACGACTGCGCATGGTGACCGGTTTAGCGAAAACGTTGGTTTTATCACCGGAAGGAACCAGTTCAGGAGCCATGGAAAATGGAACACAGAGGGCAATGAGGAGATGGCTATAAATTAAGAGGACTGCAGAGAACTCTTATGGAAATGGCTTTACTAAGGTTTTTACTTTCCTTGTGGACAAAGTGATGGAAGAAGCTGTTTAAATAGAAAGCCCACCAATGAACCTAGACAGTAAATGCAAAATATTTTATGCTACGGGACCGGAAATGTAGGAAAATTTTGCCGTACATGTGTCAGTATGATGATCCAACGGTGAGAATATTGGTTTCGAGAAACTTCAGGATATATGCCCATATATCTGATAAATTGTTGCAAATTGCAATGGAAGACGCCATAAGGTCCTTGTTTTATTTTTAGTTAAATTGTCAAAGGGGAAGAGAGTTTTAATCACCTGTTATTTGGTGCATAGATGGAGATTTTTTTTTAAAGATAGAGATCTAAATTTATACACATGTATATTTTACAGAGTAAAGAACGCAAATGGTATTCGATTATACGATATTATTTTATTAAGTTTTTCTATTATTGAAAGTTTTAAAATGGGTTTTTATTATAACGTGTTGTTTTGTTGAATCATTCGACTATTAAAAATTACAAAACGATGACCCGAATATTCATTATGTTCCAAACTCGTCATTTTTCGTTTAAAAAAATAGACGATATTCTAAGTTGAACGTTAACTTCATGATCGTGATATGATAAAATTTGATCTTAAAATCTCAAATGACTATCATATCCAGTCATCATGTTAACATCCACCTTAAACAACCGTAAATTTTTTAACGGAAAGAGACTAATTTGGAACATAATGAATAGTAAAGTGATCATTTTGTAATTTTTAATAGTCAATGGACTCAACAATGCAATACTCCATAGTCGAAGGACCATTTTATAACTTTTAATAATCGAGATACTTAATAAAGTATTATCCTATAATTAGGATCTATTTGTGTTCTTTACCCTATATTATATTACTCGAATTTGAATAAAAAAATTATACACTAAAAACCCTTAAAATTTCATAGATAAAAATCCTTAAATTTAAATCAAAATCATAATACATGAATAAATTTTTCAGAGGAAATTATACACGTCTCAAAATTAATGATAGTATGATGAGTAAGAGCTTGAACAATTGAAGCAACAACATACAAAGACAAAATACTCCGACATTTTCGAGCACCAAACATAAAGAAGAAAATTTTGAAAAATATCTAAAGCAGATGAATGAAAAACCAACCCCTTTAACTGCAATCTCATTTGACACATATATCTGACAATCAACAGAATGTAGCATACAAACGAACAAATAAGCCACACATCTGGAAATCAAGCAACCAAGAAATTTCGTAGAAACATACAACAAAAAGAAGACCAATACACCGAAAGTTCAAAAACATCGATACCTATAATACCCTTGACTAAAAAAAGGAAACACATTATTATAAGTATGATAAAATATAATTAAAAAAATTAAAAATAAAGGAAAATTAACGAAAAAAATAATGAGGAAAGAAATGACAGGAACGTGGCCGGAAAAACTATTACCACCACCCTTAACACAAAGGAAATGTGATAACCGCAGAGTATGAAAATAAACTGCAACAGAGCGAATTTTGGTAAAATTTCTTTTAAAATTTTGTTTTTAAATAATATATATATATATTCTAAAATTAAGCCTTAAGATTTTTTTTTGGAAAATATATATTTAAACTATCTTTTTTCTCATTTTATCGTAAAATAAAACGTAACAAAAAATTTAATATTTTTATTAATTATATTTTCAAATAAATAAATAATAGTAATAATTTAAATATCACTTCATATAAAACAAACTTTAAAAAGTAATTTAAAAATATCGTGCGATTCTTTTAATATAATCATTATTAAATATTCAATTTACATCAATACGAAACGATTCAATTTTAAATATTCAACTTCTTTTATGTATATTTGCTACGTTACATTAAATAAGTGTAGATCGCATATCTCAATCACTAATCTAAAATTTTAGATCTTTATTAATAAATTAAAGGTTTGGATGAAAGATTGAAATAAAGATTCTTTACCTATATTTAAAGAATAAATAACATTAATGTACCAAAAATATTATCGCGGTCGTCTTTCGGTTGGACCTAGAATTATGCTTCGACTTGAATAATTGGGTTAGAGTCGCCACCGATCACTTTAAAAATGATTTTTAGGTAGATCGGACACCATCTTACCTGATCTGGGTTTTACCAGAAATGTGTCGGGTTCGGGAGTCGGTTACGGTCAAGGAAGGATTAGCACCCTTGAACTGCTCTTTCGGTACCAATTAATTTATAGGTTGTCTTTAATTTAAATTTAAATTGAAATTTAAAACATTCGATTCGAATTACTTACCTTTGATCGACTGAGATTATTACCTTTAAAACCGGCGTCTCTTGAGTTCCGGCGACTCTTCGGCTCCCAATGGCCCTTCGTGGCTTTGTGGTTGATGTTTTAGTTTTTAGCATTTTTGCATGTGGGTTTTGCTCACCGTTGTATGTTGTTTTTTGGTTTCGATGGTTCTCGGCAATCATTGTTGTGGTGTTTTGTGGCACTCTTGGTTTTCGGTTTACTTTTGTTGGCCGTGTTGTTGTTGATGCTTTAGTTTACTATTTTTTTGTGTTGATACTATCGGTTTTGGCTGTGGTTCTGTGGTTTCGATCGTTCTGTGTGTATTGTCCTTTTTCTGTTCGTTGATGCCTTGATATTTATAGGCTTCCGTTGGGGCCATTTCCGGTTATGGTTGGAGTTGATCCCAGATATTCCGGGGCTGTTCTCGGTGATCTCGGATGGTTCAGTCCGGGTAGCTCCGATTTTGGTGCTGCACATCGTCGAAATCCTTGGCTAACCGATGACTTTCGATCTTCTGGAACCCTTGATCTCGACCGTTGGATTGGGTCAGATCCAACAGTCCAAGATCAGATACGGCGTTGGACTTTTTGACTTGATAGATTAGGGTTTTGCAACCGTAATGAACCTGGACTGGTTCAGGCCCGTTTAACCGATGCTGGACTCGAACGGATTTGGACTCTCGCCCACTTTGGACATATTGGACCCTTGCTGGATCTAGAAAAGAAAATGAAAAGAAAATAAAAATAATAAAAATAAAAATAAATAACCATGATATATATATATATATATATATATATATATGTATAAACATTTTCCAAAAACTTATATAATATATATTTTCAAAAATATTTAAAATTATATATTATATATTTTTTAAATATGTTTTCAAAATTATATAGTTTTCGAAAATGTTTTAAAAACTATATATTATATATTTTCAAAATGTTTTAAAAAACTATAATATATATATGTTTTCAAAATGTTTAAAAAACTATATAATATTTATGTTTTCAAAATGTTTTAAAAACTATATATTATATATATTTCAAAAAATCATTTGCAAACTATATAATATATATATATATATATGTATGTATATAAAAAATAAAAAAAATGGGACGAAAATGAGTGTTTACAACTGCCCCTCTTTGTCTTTTTTCGTGGAACGAAAAATAAGACAAAGATAAAAGGACACAAATTTTCGTTCAGCGGAGTTGAAAATTAAGAATAACTCCTTGTCGAATTGAGTTGCGGATGGCTCCTCCGTTGTGAAGTCGAGTTCATCTTGAAACGACATGGAATTGAAGCTGTAGTTCGGAATTTGAATCGAAATGTGGCTTCTCGTTGCTAAATTGTAGTCAACTTTGGTCTTCTTCTCGGTTTAAAGACATTGGTTTGAAAATTCGACTGGAAAATAGTTCATTGACTCCACCCTATGGTTAATAGGCCATCGAGCTGAATAAAATCAAACTCGGAAGGTCTTTGTTGATAGATAACTTTTCTCGACTTAAGCTATGCTGCCGGAAAAATGGTTTATTGTCACTAAGGGACGGCTAACCCAGGTCATCTTCTCGACTTGAAAACCTTGGCTACCACTGGAAAGTAGTGTGATTGATGTGTCATCGAGCTGAATGGAATCAAAATTGAAAATTTTGTTGACAGATAGCCCTTCTTACCTTGAGCTAAGCTGTAAATGATATTTCTTTGAGCTGAGTGTAACCGAACTCGAAGGTCTTTTATTGGCAGATAACCCTTCTAGCCTTGAGTTATGCTGCACATAATGTGCCTTGGAGCTGAGCGTAGTCGAACTCGAAGGTCTTTTGTTGGCAAATAACCCTTCTTTCTTTGAGCTATGCTGCAAATGATGTGCCTTGGAGCTGAGTGTAGTCGAACTCGAATGTATTTGGTTGGCAGATAACCCTTCAAGCCTTGAGTTATGCTGCAAATAATATGTCTTTGAGTTGAGTGTAGTCGAACTTGAAGGTCTTTTGTTGGCAAATAACCCTTCTAGCCTTGAGTTATACTGCAAATGATGCACCTTGGAGCTGAGTGTAGTCGAACTCGAAGGTCTTTGGTTGGAAAATAACCCTTTTTGTCGTGAGCTATGTTGCAAATAAACACGATATCCTATTCAGGATTTGAAACCATGGATGGCCCATTCGTTATGAAGTTAAGCCTTGAATTGGATATTCTTCATCGTGAAGTTGAAATCCAATCTAAAGATGAATGTCACTGGTGAGCACGATTCCCTTTGTCGTGAAGTTGAAATCGTGGATGGCCCATTCGTTGTGAAGTTGAGCCTTAAATTGGATATCCTTCATCGTGAAGTTAAAATCCAATCTTAAATATGAATGTTGCTGGTGAGCACGATTCCCTTCGTTGTGAAGTTGAAACAGTGGATAGCCCCTTCGTTGTGAAGTTGAGCCTTGAATTATATATCCTTCATCGTGAAGTTGAAATCCAATCTAAAGAGGAATGTTGCTGGTGAGCACGATTCCCTTCGTCATGAAGTTGAAACTGTGGATAGCCCATTCGTTGTGAAGTTAGCCTTGAATTGGATATCGTTCATCGTGAAGTTTAAATCCAATCTAAAGATGAATGTCATTGGTGAGCACGATTCCCTTCGTCGTGAAGTTGAAACCGTGTATGGCCCCTTCGTTGTGAAGTTGAGCCTTGAATTGGATATCATTCATCGTGAAGTTGAAATCCAATCTTAAAGATGAATGTTACTGGTGAGCA